ATCCATCGGCAAAAAACTTAAGGTGCATAATCATTTGTGCAAGAGACTGCAAGGCTTTTTAAGTGTATACAATGATTATTAGAAGCATATTGTGATATGACTTGTTTACCCTGTGTTTAGATACCTACTGAGTACTTGTCACCTAAAAGATTCGTCTGATTCGACGAATAAGCGAGCGATTGACCTTCCAAAATGTTGGGTCCCAAGAATATGATTTTCTGCGATGCAATGCAAGAGATTTTAATCACGACATGCAACAATAAACAACTAAAAACATGAAAATGCTCTTTTTTCACGTCGAAGCAAGGAGTTTAAAATTCTCTCCAAAAACAGGAATTTCTTGAATTGATGCAACTTATAGCCTCCGAATTTATATTCAGTTAGTACTTTCTATATTAAGACATGTGTTTGTCAACGGGAATAAAAACAATCCTATGCATGAAATGTTTTGTAAAGCCGAAAATGGAGCAAATGTGATAGATCGTGTGCATGATGCCATTTTGAGATCTCTGTTTTGAAAGGGAAAAAAACGATAGATTTGATTAAAGAGGTAGGAACTTGATCAAGTGTGTAGTGTAACCATTTTTTATTCCGTGACAACAAGCGTGGGCAGAAAAAGTACTCCAATGAAAAATTAATATTCGTTGAAAGAACCGTAGATTTGTTTTCAATGCAGGAAGCAAAATGGCGAATATGTTTTAAGCCGACCCCAGTCCTCCCCGTTTCTTTCCCAGGGCAAGACACGTTGGAAAGCGAAGACTGTCCGAGTTCGTGACGTGCTTGAAATCGATCTGTGTCTAATTAATATTTCACGATGCTCATCAGACCGGAACGACGGCTTTCGATGATACAAGAGTGCGGAAAAAAAGAAGGTTGGAATCGACGTAATGATAAGGCGAGTATCCTTTGAATATTTTTCCGAGTAATGGCGTTAAAAAAAGTTCGACAACTTCGGATTGCCGTAGAATCGAGCGTCTAAAACGTCCCTCGAGGCGCGCAAAATAATATTGCCAATCGATATCACAATGCGAAGGAACTACGTTATGAATAATTCCATTAAGTTTATGCAATTTCAAATACATGATATGCAGATTTTGTAGCTCTCCGAAGTCGAAGGTTCAATTTGTAAATGAAATCACGGTCGTAATATCGATTCAGATGTATCCTATAATGATAATTATTCATTTACAAAATGACGAGAAATCTACGTTTTTGAGTTGTTGCATCTTTACTTATTATGAGTAGGGAATATTTCTCGCGTGCGTTAATAATTTGGCAGCAATTAATAACGTGCTGCGGGAATTTTGTCAGATTCGAATTGATTCGGCAGAAATTTTACAACACCGTGCAAATTACTGTTAATTTCGATAGCGGTAGGAGCATTGAATCGATTCTTCAAAATTACCCTCGCAACATGGGTGGGCAGAAAATACGTTACAAGATGTGGGCGTTGATACTTTAAACGGTGGCCAAAAACAATAAACAATAGCATCTACTACGATCCATCGTCTGTTGTACCCACGAAAAAGTTTAGCAGTTAAATATATTAAATTCAGTATGGGAAGTTAAGTCTCTATACCATAAGTTTGGTAATTTCGTGTCACACGACCTCTTCGGTCTCCTTCCTGACCGTGTCGTGTTCAAAGCGACTTGAACTAAAAATGAAAAAACTGCTCGACAAAGGAAAAGGAAAACTACGTTGTAGAGAGTAGACGGTACATCCGAACGACGTCTCGCGATAAACAACGAATTAAACTTCGCGGATTATACCCTCTATATTGCACTAAAATTTCTTCATACCTTCTATCTCTACCCAAGTGGCAATTAGACTAGTTCCTTTACTCGACTAGAAAATACTTATATACTACACGTATGTACAGTTTAAAAATGTCATCCTCCCTGTGCCCTTTATTACAAGTGTTAATCTCATGTCACGTGGTATTGCTCAAAGGGCGGGCATTGGTAATCCGCCGAGAGTATTCTCCTTTTCGCTCATATTTGTTCATCATTGTTCTCCGTTCCATGGGGAAATTCGAAGAGACGAGACGCGATCGTATTGGATCCCTAATCGGCGTCGCCGATCGTTGCTACATCGAGTTTCTCGTATTTCATATTTTTCGGATTAGTCCTAATTGTCCGGCGTCGATTCGCACGCATCGGTAAAGTGTCTGAAACGCCTCCTGCGAAAACGGTCGTAGTTCGGGTTTCGGCCGCGACGTGGCTACGGCCACCTCCGCGGAGCCGGCGCTCACCGGAAGGAACAAAGGTGAACAATGACGGCTTTCTTATCGGATCGCGATTTCAAAATTCTCGGCTAAATTCTACGGTATTGCTTCGATATGATATGATACAGTCTTTTCACTGATTGTCCAATATCACTACGTAAAACTTCGTTTAATCTCTTCCCATTGCCGCGCCGCACTGCGAATCCATTTTCGTTTTCATTAGGATTAATATCACTTCCGGCGCGGCTATGCGCGCGTCGACTTTTTTTCTTATAACGATACGTACTTTATATTATGTTTTACATTGTACTTTCCAAACATCGAGGACTCCATGCGCGTTTGAGCATGGAATCTCGATGTACACATCCCCAGGGGAAATGCCTCAGCTTGTCCGTTGTCCTCGAGAAACATTGTGCAAAAAATTCAAAAATATACATCGAGTCTAAATATATACAACATAAAACGTAAGGGTATATTAAGAAACGATTGATTTCATTTCCGCTATTTCAGAAGCATGTCAATGTTGTCATGTGAGTACTTGCTTGTAGTTTTCGAAAAGTTTCACATCTCCTACGTGTAATATGGCGTAATCGATATCAATGATGATTAATATTATAAGAAGTGGACACAACAAAAGAGATTCTTATTTGAAACAACTAGTCCTGTTTTAATATCGAAAAAAAAAAGTTGAATTTAATGATTTTATAAGATTTTTAGTAAATCGCAAGTTACTCTTAAATGGCATTACATCGGTACAAACAAAATAATCGACAACAATAAACCTTAAGCGATTTCTCATGAGACTATTTGATTGGATTATAATAAGTGGATGAAATTGTTGTCCGTGTCTTTCTCAATATCTTCATCGTTGCAATTATGAGCAAGTCGATTAGTCAAATAAATTGGTGTTTGGGGGAAAACGGTTCATATTTGGAAATATAAACTAATTTAAATTGAGTGTAGGTACTACGAACGTAGTAGTGCACTTCTGATGTCGAGACGTAGATGACAATATGGCTTAAAAATATATATAATTATTGCTGTCACAATCTCATATGACTATACACCGAGTGAAATAAACACTGATTACTGTGAGAGAATTTCTTGTGCCAAATATATCTCTCCTGGATACTGTTAACAAAGCAAGTTTTAAGGATTGATCGAACAAAAAATTCAGACAAATTGCAAATAATACTTCATTTTCTTAAGCTTAGTTTCATCAAGTTCGTTTGTCTCCTTATCATTGAATTTACTGTACATGAGCATTTCAGAACTAATAGTTGATTCCCTTCAAAAAGTGACAGATTCTGAAAGAATTAATAATATTCATGTAACAACTGGAATTTAATATGAATTACCAGTATGTTTGATATTTCGGTAATTATGCATAAAAGAGTAACCCTGCCAGGTTTTCGTATAACTTTGATATATTGTAGAGGACGTCGTTCCGAGTATTTTCATATATATATATATGTATTTAAGCGTCGGACTTGAATATTTTTGGAGTTACAATAAATAAAGAGAACAAAGTATGTTACATACTTGGTACCGATTCGTCGTAGGTCGATATGGCAGAGCGTGTCACCAATGTAAAGGAACGCAATAAATTAGCGACTAATTCAAATTTGCACTCATGATGAAGCCCCTCCCAGACACCCCATAAAATATAACTTAACCTAAACTATTACTGAAATTTAATAGGTTAGGTTAGGCTTTGTTTCGGGGGGTTCTGAAGAGCAAAGCCCACCGGTAGCCATTCTGCTATTCTTCAATTATTTAATAACTCCGAAACTATTCAAGTTCGACCTTTAATTATATATTTGCATATACTCGGGATGACGTCCTTTACAATATATTAAAGTTACACGAAAATTGGAGAGGATCACCCTTTTATGCATAATTATCAATATTTGTCTCAAATCTCTGAAAGTTATTGGTGAATTCATTCTTACATCAACTTCAAACAATATTTATTAGTCGTTTATAATTTTTGCATGTCAAGTATGTCCATGAAATTCTTTCTGCAAGATCATTTCCACTTGATATTAACTTGCCATCATTTGGGGTGCAACGCGAATGACTTTTACAAAATCAATTCTACTGGAGCCAAGAGATTTCATTGACAAGGAACATTCAGATTGTCGTAAGTAAATAATGTCATCTGGAAAGTAATGTTTTCATTCGGTGTACATATGAAATGTGAGTAAACATTGCTCTCTACGAATTTCAAATTAATTTGTATTTTGATGCTCCGAGACTTTTATTCCGGTAGCATATAAAATCGAACATGGAGCATCAATTAACGCTGAACTAAATACAACCTTCTTAAATGAAGTGATTGTCATAATTTAGGGAACAGGAACCGAAGGTCGAAAAAAAAGTAAACAGACGGAAAATGACTAGAAAATAAATGCAGAGGTCCTTAATTACTACAGCGCTTAATAAAGTATTGACAACGAGTGAAGCATTTCCCTCACCGCGGGTGTCCCACATTCTATCGACTCGCAGCGTCTTTCCCAATCAGTCCCTATAGTCTGTTCCACGTGTTTTCTAATCACGCAAGTAAAAGTGTCCAGGTGCCGCCTGCGACAGATCGACCAGTGTACCGCCGTACATCCCAAGCCAAGTCCCATAATCCGGAAGAAATCCGAAGCGATTTCGGAATGATTCCACCGAGGCCTAAGGCCAGCCCTGATACTCGCTCAGGGGTTCCGGTTTGGGCTCTAGGTTGGGTGGCGGGTACAGTCAGTTCTGCTGTCACAAGCCACCCTCGGGTCAATGCTGGGCAGCGAACTTCATGCGTTTCTGCTTTTGTCGTTGGTTGCAGAACCAGACCCTAACAACGTTTTTCTTAAGGTCCAACTTCTCAGCGATAGCGGCTATCTTTTCTCCAGAGGGTCTCGGCTGGACCGCAAAGTAGGCTTCCAAAGATCGTTTCTCCGGTGCCGCGATACTGGTCCTCTTTCGTTTTTTCTCACCTGCTGGCAGTACCGAAGGGGCATCGGGATCGCGCCTTTTGTTTTTGGCCTGAGCTTCCGCTTCTTCGAGCCAAGCCTGCAGAATAGGCTTCAGCGCGATCATGTTATTGTGGGACAATGTTAAGGATTCGAAGCGACATATCGTTGACTGGGAGAGAGCTCCAACACCTGGTAGCTTCAAATTGGCTAGGGCCTTTCCGACGTCGGCTTGGGTGACTCCTAGTTTGATGCGACGTTGTTTAAATCTCTCGGCAAATGCTTCCAGTTCCCGGGGATCCGTGTCCGCGTCGGGATGCAGACCGGCTGCGGCGGCAGCGGCCGCTGCCGCTGCCATTGCTGGATGGTGATGAGGATGTGGAACGCTTCCACCGATGTTTGCGTGGTGATGGTGTCCCATCATCCCGTTCATCCCACCGTAGACACTTGGGCCATGGATTCCTGCGTGGTGGCCCGGTCCACCACCTGTGTTTTCTGACATCGGTGTTAGCGTTGTCATCGAATTGGCTGGGTCCAACATGTCTAGACTTTCCATCCCTGGGTGGCTCATCTGGAACAAACCACCCACGTACTTTTAATTCGCGCGGATTGGCAAATTGGTCCTTACAGGTGTGGATGTCGGGACTCCCATGGAACGGGTTTCTTTAAGAGTTTACATCCCGCATTAATGGTTTCACCCAAAATTCGCTCTCTAATGCTGAACAAAATGAGTACAAACGTTTGACAAGTGGAAGGTAAAGTTTACAGAAAGTGCTACTCGTAACTTGAGAGCATTATCTTGAACGGAATATTATTTTATTCGGCAAATACATCGGAACGGAACTATCAACGTAAATATATCCTTTTGATAATAACGGAATCTGACAGTAAAATTAATTCATTTCTTCCATTTCTTATATTAAAAAATATCGTTTATTCATAATGATTGGTAGTAGTCTTATTAAAATAATCCATTTATTTTTATCGAACGAGTACTTATATGTTTAGATGTAATGTTATTCATTAGCTGAATATAAATTTTAAACCGGAGAGTATGTTTTGCCTTTCCTTGTGACAATATTTGAATAATATTTTTCGCAATATCATTGTTTCGACATTTAATCTTTCTAATCTAGTGAAAATTTAATTTGTGCAAAGTTAACTTTATTTTATTTGTATTTCAAATTATAGTGGTCGATTTAGAAAAAAAGCAAACTCAAAACTGTGTCTAACCTGACTATTTTAAAATGATAAACTTTAAATCTTGACTGGCCACATTTTGCCGGAAAAACTAATAAAATGTAATTCAATTTTTGTCGTGTAAGGATTGCAATATGTAATACCTTGTTCAAACATATATACAAGTCGAGCAAAACTGAAACAACATGTATGTAGGTATACTAATTCAAAATATATGTTTCAATCACACCTAACCTCAGCTTCTCTAAAATTACTCTAAAGAATTGAATTGAATAATGAAAATACCCATGAAATTACTGCATCAAATGCTTGATTTAGGATAATTCTTTAATATTTTCTTAAATATACATATATATTAGTGACAGATTATCTGCGATAATGTTTCAGTCAGAGAATTGTTTTCGTGTTTTAAAAATAAAATATTTTCGAGAGTTTTTAAAAAACATACTCTACGTAATCTTAATGCAAATAAAAATTCCACGGCAATGTTTAATTACAAACTTAAATTTCATTATTTATGTACAAAAGTTTCAGTTGTGTATACACAAAACTTCCCTGATATAAGTTCTTGCGAAACAAAACTTTCTTTTAAAAACAATGGACAACAATTTTCTGGAGTAAAAACACAATATTTATTCATCATTCGAAAGCTTCATTTTTTCAAATCTGTGATCTAGACTTAAAAAACGACATGAAAATATTAAACAATCTATGGAACTTTACAATATTTTCAATCTTCACAGTTTTGTTGTATTTGCGTGTATTAGTAAAAATAATAATAATGAAAATAATGATTAATTATTTAATCCAATATTTTCATATTTTAAGCGCAATTATAGTTGTGTCATTTCAGAATTTAAGTAGATAATCATTATTTTAACTGGAAGGAGTCTTTTACATATAATTTATAATTCTGTCATGAATTTCCATGTCACCGAAAAAATGAATTCGTGTCAAGATTACGAGATTCAATCTAAAAATATAGTCTTCCACTTGTCAAATAAATTTTCGTATCGGTTTATATTTTATGAGCGGAACTATGGATTTTATAACAGCATGGTCCATTTTGTACTTATTTTGTCATTCTAAAAATATAGTCTTCCATTTGTCGAATAAATTTTCGTATCGGTTTATATTTTATCTACGGAGCTATGGATTTTATAACAGCATGGTCCATTTTGTACTTATTCTGTAAGCGGACAATTAAGCTGAATGTAAAGAATTTATATTTCAACGTGAAATAATGCAACAGATATAACTGAGTTACCTAATAGCGTTATCAGCTGGGCTACACCGAGCTGCCCTGGTGTAGAGTACCACCATTAAGATGATATGAAAGGTGCTGAGAAATTTAATCGAGGTTGATAAATTAAAATTCATCTGTGCCTTTTTTGGTGGTACCGTCATTTTGAATACTCAAGTGGGAACATAAGCTGGCGCGTCACGTTACCGACATTTACATTTATGTTGGTCTTTTACGTCTACGTTGACCATTATACGAACTGAAGCGTTCCATATGTCACTTCGGTAAAGTAATGATAAAAAGATCGACGTAAATCTATCGAAATTCCGTGAATTTATTATTCCGACTGTTTAGGACCAACGTCGCCATCTGTGACGATTAGCTGCAACTAAATTTTTCCTAAAAATTAACGTCTTAGCCCCGGGACAAGCCAGCATTTTCTTGCAATCGTTGGTGAAAGTATCTTCCATATTTTCCCATCTGACTCTGTAATAATCCATTTCTACGGTGTTCTAAATTGTTCGAACTAGGTCCTGAACCTCTTCAATTTCCATTTTAAGCCTTCAAGAAGCGTAAAACATCGAAAACGTGCACGGACCACGCCATGTTGGTTCTAGTCCATGATAAGTAAATGAATGTTTGACGAAAAATGAAATTTCATGAGTTTCAGGACCTACTTTAAACCCTCCATATTCCCGTGGTAAAATCTGGAACGAATTGGTACACCCAATTCGGAGAATACTCTCATTAACGATTTGACCACTCACAAGAGTCGTCGGAGAAAGTGTAACAAAAGTGCACAAGTGGATGACTAATGCCAGTTTCAGCCCGAGAGCGGCAAGCGACAAGCAGCAATTAGAAATGTTTGCGATAGTTAATGAAAACAGTCACGTCATTGACAAAAAATCTCAAGCCGGGCATTTTTATTTTTGATAAATGTCATTTTCAAAAGTTTGTGCGTTCGACTGATGCGGTAGCACTGTCACGGAGTCCCGAACTACACGAAAAACGTCTACATCGTCAACACCGAAAGTGTGGTGCTATCCATTCGCCCTACACTTGTGCAACATTGGGGTAAGAAAGTGTAGCCCAGCTGGAAACGTTGCAAGGATCGTATTAAAAAACGGAGCGTAATCAGAAATCCTATATCTTTCCCTATTCGAAATAACCTCATCTGAACAGGTGTTTTGCTATTTGTATTAGATACTCTACACGATATACATAACGCGATTAACATTTTGGACTTGGAATTATTTCATGAATAAAGATACCCGTTCAATGAGGGTTCCAAAATGGGAGGTGTTTAGGCGGTTTTTCAGGACGTAATCAGGATTGGAAACAAGGGGATTTTCTCCGATGACGCGTTGCTATAGACATTTTTATAATGTTTGGCCGTGAATGAGTTAAGGTGAAGTGAAACCCCCTTCAAATCAGTCGATTCGAATACAACACTTTTTTTTTAAGGGTATTAGACCAAACTGTCCGAAACTTTGACACGTCACCCCTGATCATCTAAGAATTGTCCTGACAGATTCAAATTTTGGATTTTTGGAAAAAATTCTTTAACTCAGCTCAGACCAGAACCAAAACGGCGTCGAGCTCTCATATTTCGATCCATATACAATTATCGAAGGCTCTGATATGAGAATCGAAAGGGTCAGGACAATTTTACGACAATTTAGAACACTCTGGTAATCGATAAACTCGCATTTGAACGGGATAAAGGCAAAAAAAGTGTTGTATGCGCTTGTATGCCAAAACGATGGGAATACGAGGTCTCGGAGTGAAGATTTAATTGACCTGGAAATCACAGATGGCGCAGGGGGTCCTTCTGCAGTCAATTAGGGCCCCAGAAAGCACGAATCCAGAGGATTTCTGGAGTTTTACTTCGATTTCTTGATATTTATTGTACGAACACGACAGGTGGAGTATGTCATTTAGTACAATACCAAATATAATTCGACCCAGCTGTCAATATAAAAACGAACGTCGGCAACGTAGGCATTTAGAAAAATCTTCTTTATCGACGTCGATCAAGTTCCTCGACGTGTTTCACTTCACCTTAAATTAATTAAGACTCAAATGAGTAAATTGATTTGCATTTTCTGTATTGATAAAAGTTGCTAAATTTTATTCACACGTCAGTATGGCTTTATTATCGAAAGTCAGAGTAATCTTGCAAATGCGTTTGGTTAACCACATCACAAAATATTTACTATTTCGGACTGTATGGATCCGTCAATATTTTATGACATGGTGAGCTGAATGCATTTCAACTGAAAAACACATATTTAAAAAACTGTCCATAATGGAACAAAACAGGTATCAGCTTAATGTTCGTTTGGTTGTTTCCTTTTCAGTGGTGTACTTAAGCTTCATTTTAAAATGATCTAGTACACATTTAAAGATATTCAAAAGTCATAAGTGCATTAGTGAATGCATCAACTAATTTATACGATTGCAGAACTTAAACATCTGCCTAAATATTACATAGAACCGACTACGTTAATACGACAAGAACAGGAAAATCATTCGAGTTTCGTCCCAGGTACTAAACATACGTTCTTCTTCAAAATAAATAGCTATTACATTCTCAGGATGAAACACGTCTTCATAAGACCCCCAGAAAAATCAAAACATCACTTCTTACATCTCCTCCAATTTGTGGTGATTATATTTTTAAATTTCAATTGCTGTTGCTAATATGATCCTGCGACCATAAGGATGCGAGATGGATCATTACAGATTTCTGCACTTCTTCGTACCTGTCTTAACACTGAAATTTTTATCTCTACTAGATTTCCGAAACTAGACAGATCCGAATAAATCGTGCCTCTACGAGACCCCAACCAACCTCTTTCTATTTCGTTTCAAAATCGCAGTCGAGTGCCTTTTTTCATTTATCTTACCGATCCAACCATTTCGTGCTTTAATTAAAAACTTGACTTAATTTATCAATTATTTTAATGTCATTTTTTTTATTCTTTCGTGATGTCCTTTTGGTTTTCCAATTTAAAATCAGCAGCCGTCGATGTATCCGAATCGTTGTTTTCTCAGAAGATATCGTTAACTCTTGGGAGACGTTACATTAGATACTCACAGGGAAAAAAATAATTTGGTTACAATTA